ACAAACAACTAAGATATCGTCCACATATCTCTTATAAAGTGACATGTTTCCGATTAATTCGTCAGTCTGATTTTCAACATGTGCCATGAACACATCTGCTAGTAATGGTCCTAGCGGACTACCCATAGCAACTCCATCAATCTGACGAAAGTATTCACCTTCAAAAGTGAACTGAACTTTGTCAGTACATAGTAATAGTAAATCTTTAAGAAGTTTTACAGGTACACGTGATTGAAAATTGTTTTTAGATATGTAATCACATAATATATCAATGGTTTTTTTTAAAGGTACATTTGTAAACAAGGAATTTACATAAGTGTTTTGCACTTAGAAAGTGCAAAGTACATCTCATGCCTTCGGATTCTTGTTCCCAACTGATTAAGTGTGGTTTTCATGGCTTGAGTATTGTCACGCATACTCAAGGAACTAGTAACTAAGTTAATATTAATTAACACAATTCATAATGTGATTCAGATACAAACACTTTTTATCTCATTTCCAATGCGAATCACTGACTGACCAACCTATTCATTTACTCTTTTGTCGTTCTTATACTTTTCTTGAAAAACTTCATAATAATAAGTTCTTGTTGGTGAAGATTTCTACAGCCTTTCATTGATCAATATGGAACGTGAATTGATGCACCATTATGTATAATTTGGTGTGTGTATGCTTGGATTCATCCTTTTTAAGTAGTATAAACCATACAAGTGATAATTTAGCTGACCAACTGCAGGCTTTGGTGGAAAAAGTGAACAGAATTTATCCATAAACCCGGTTTCATCAGATTATCGTGTAATCACCTCTTAAGTATAGTATTCATTAAAAACTCAATAATTTGGAATAAACCTGTTAATTTACCTTATTAAATATATCTACCATGTGATCAAAACTAGAAAAATTAATCGTCTGTTAATTTATTTTCTAACTGTTATATATTTTCTAAGTACTATCCTTTGTTTCTTCGTTAACTTCCATGTGACTTTTTAAAAAAAATACCAGCCTAATGATAATGTCTATGTTCAATTGTAGTGTCTAAAGTTTAACAATATTTCTAATAATTATTTCATTGAATTGAGATATTTGTAAGCAATGATGTTTATGTACTGTGGTTCACTAATAATTTTGTTCTTGATAGCTCATCATCACAAACAACTCAAATGGATGCTTTCAATGTTACTAATTTCTTTTAATTATTTGATTTATTCAAAATTTTATTGTTGTTTTGCACAATATTATCTACATGAAGTTGACCCTGATAATGTTATCCAAAATGACTATAAACTCTTACTTACTCCCCTCATGGAGGATCATAGGCCACCCACCAACATTATTCATCGACTATAAAAGCTACCTAGCAATTAAATTGTCCAACTCAGAGAACCCGACAACTTCAAAACAACTACTTTTATCAATCAGTGATCTTCCTTTTTGTTTTTGTTTTGTATGTGAAAATGATTAACTTTTTAGAAGTAACACTACCTCCTAGTAGATGATTTCTAAGAGCATGTCTCCCTTGAAAATGTAACAATAGTAATGATATTATAAAAACTAACTAAGTTTATAACTAATCAATCAACAATTTAATTCCAGGTTTTCAATGGTGGTCTAGCTTCAACTGACTCATGAGTTCAATCTGTGAAAATTTCTAAAAATCTCCACAAAACACATTCTGATAATTTAGTGTATACCAACTTCTACTAAGTTTTATGCATTTATCTGAATTAAGTTAGTTCTGTTCTAACATATACGTAGTCAATATTAACGTTATTTGTATGATTGAATACGAGTAAACACTTTTGTATTTAATAGATCTATATTCAATCCTGTTGAATTAGCATGGAGGAAAATGATTCTTACAAATAAGAGTGATTTATAAGCGTCCCAGGCAAAATATCAGCGTGTCATTGCACTTTAGTTAAACAAAAGTTTATATATATATAACTATACCTTAATCAATTTCAGTGTTCAATCATATATGAAAACATAATGAAGTGTTTTTAGCTAAGATACTGCTTTTGAAGTTAATAAACGTATATACACTTGAAATTTTCATCTAATTGTTTGTTTACAATAAATAATAATCATAAATTTAGTGTGATTTAATTTGATCAACTTCAGTTTGTCGTGTAAGTCCTATCAACATGATAGGCATCATTAAATAATTAAGGTATATATATATATATATATATATATATATATATATATATATATATATATATATATATATATATATATATATATATATATATTCTATAAATATTCTATAAACTGAATAAAGTTTTGCGTTATACTAATTATGTAAGCATATTTATAATTCAAATAATACAAAAGCTTGTTTATCACAATCATGAATTCATTAGTGAAAGCGTAGTTTATTGATGAACTTTACCGACTGTTAAAATAATCTTAAGAAAGTCAGGGCGAATTTTAAATTAGTAACCGAATAATTTATTTCGTAGAAGTTCATTAATTTCTTTTATTCATATAGTTCTGATGGTTAATAGTAGAGCAATACAAAGAAGACAATGCCTTACTTAGTAGAATTTTACTCACTTATAGATCATTTGAAATTTTGATTTTGTCATTGATCGAATCCCCTATATTTTCACACCTTGTCTTAGTGGGTATATATTCACATTATTTAAGAATATGATCGTATACAGCGTTGTTGTTAGTTAATATAAAATACAGTTCACTAATGAGAATCTTCTTTACTCATTGTCCTCCATAAATGAATTGATTAATCAATATGCGATAGAATATATTTAACTATTATCTGAATTTTAGATACTTGCGACATTTATAATCAATTTTTGATGAATAGTTCTCTCTTTCTACTGATCATGAACTATGGTGGATCCTAATTATTTACTATCGTCTAGTATATATTATGTATTCAGAAATACGAAAGAAGTTATTCGTCTTGATGAAATTTTCCTGCGTTCTGATCAGTAGATTTCGAATTTCTATCACATAAGTGTTGAATTGTATTCAAAATGGACACTGACTGATTGATGAATGGTAGACTATGTTACATCACCGATTTTTTGACGATGGTTGATAGAATTTTATCAGCCCTAAACGTTAGGCAAACACTCCGTGATTTCAATTAGTGTAAACATCGCAGACCTGTTAGGGATTATCCACCAGCTTAAGTAGTCTATTGGTAATTTCCCCGATTTTAACATTGTTTTGATACATCAAAAAAATCATTAGTTCCCTAATGAGTATACAGATTGTAATGTATAAATCATGTATTTATCCTGAGGCAACACAATAATTCTTTGTATCGTGATTTTCTCTTCCATAAAACGTACCAAACTATCCATCTTCAGTTGCTTTTTCCTAAAGAAAAACAATTTCGAGGAAACATAGACGTATGGTAATTTATGTTGTACATTGGTCACCAATATTGTTCGATTTGTTGAAATCACGAATCCATCGACTTAATAACACACATCTGAACTCTCGAAGACAATGATGCTCACTTTCCCAACTATGAAGTCTCATCGGTGCTACGATCTATGAGATTATACTGATGTTCGAAAATGTGCTATCAAGCCCACATTATTTTGTGTATTGCATAGTTGTTACAACTGAATGAAATTGATGTGATTTGATACTAGGCATAAAACAAAGAAAATAAATGAAGATACCCTTCGCTTGCCGAAAACTCGTCTCCATTTGATGTAACCGCAAGAACTAGACCTGTAAAACAGAAATTTAATATAACTGAAACTGGATTTAAGAGATCATTTAAGCTGATTATGAGATACAACTGAAACGAGATAGCTATAACTTGGTCAAAAAAAGAATTTGTTGTAACTTTAACTAGATATCACTTGAACTGAAACTTGTAAATTAACCCGGTCGCCAGTCGTTGTAACCTATCAATCAAAGTACGTTTTTGTGAATTCGCCTTTAGACTATGCCATTAACGTGAGAGCTAGTGATAATACCTAAATTAAGTAGAATGGGATTTGAATCTGCAATCTATTAATTGTAAAGGCTTGAGTATTCCTAGCACTGATATGTATATTTTTTGATAAATCTATCTGCTTTTATCATAAATTGCCTAATCGTGAAAAAGTGTATGTATATGATGGTTATTATACTGTGAATGTGTCATTTTATATCTTATCCTGTAACTTATAATTATACTTTCTGCTTCAATAAATAAACATTTCTTTGGCGCTTCTCGTTATAAATAATTTTGATGCTTGAAAGCTTCTGATTATTGTACATTATCCATTGGACTAGAATAATTTAATGATTATGTTTGTCAAATAGGTTTATGTAACGGAAGTTTTTTAATCTTCATATGAATAAACTACTGTTATTGTTTATGTAATTGCATCAACTTGATCTTATCCATAAATGAGAGCGACTTCTGTATTTATTATAAGAATGCATTATTACTTCTTTTTCTGTACAGTAGTGTTGTTAAGTACATATTAAAATATGTGTTTTGGCTGTGAAGTATATAATTTAGAGTACCATTGGAAATCAGAGAGTAGTGAATAACTGTTTTGTTCCAGTTTGAAACCTGTCAAAAATGTAAACACATTTAGACCACTAGAGTGACACACAACTTATACTTCTATCTTCAGTCAATTCGTGATATTTTAAAACCATCATCTATTGCAATTGTTGATGTTTATCTTATACCCAAAATCGTTTGAATTACACGGATCATGGCTTCTCTCTAGAACTCAAAGGATTTCTTTTCTCAAAGTTTACTCATTTTAGAAGCATCATGGATTTGCTAAGATTATTTACCTGTATATCACCAGTAGGGTCATTGATGACGATAGTGTAACCTGTTTGTCTTGTTCAGAACTGAGGATTTTCTTTCCCGTCGCACACGCTTGTCTCTCAATCATATGTTATCTCTAACTCCGACGTTTTTTGCCTAATAGGTTAATATTGATTATTCTACTCCATTTTTTCCCTTTTTTACTTTTATGATGAATAATGCTGATATCGTTGTCATCCAGTTATTATTTACGTCTTCGTGAAATTACTCGTCAAGCTGCGATTGATTTATTTATCGGAAATGAACAAAGTCCTGAACTAATCATGCTCTGCAATGGTTCCGGTTTAGAATCGTCATCGTTACAAGTAAGAATCATCTCCTCGTCATTTTGTTTCTTTTATTGTTACATTTTTATTTGATTCATTTCATTTGTTTGCTTTAGTTTTGTTTACATTTGGTTAGATATGATGAGCTGTGAATTTTTATTGCTTTTTATCCCGTCTTCACTGTGTAAATGTGTGTATACGTGACCATGTGCGTACTCCCTTTATTCTGTTTGTTCCCCTTTTTTTCTCTTCGAAAATGAAATGTATCGTTGCAAAAAGAAACAGTATTAGTAATAATGTACTCGAACCGTTTATGCTGTTGTCAGCATGAAATTTTCTCTGATTAAAAATAATATTTTTATGACTTGTTTATTTAAGTAGTGATTGACTTTATTACTGTCCTCTTTTGTTTAATGATGAAAGATATGTAACATGAACTGTATATAATTGATAGGACTAGATTTATGGTTCAGTAAATAGTTCATATTTTGATCATTTTTAACATCTTTTGCTCCGATTACACTGTTTAAGCAATTGAATAATGTTTATTTGTTACGATTGTGGTATACTGAATTTGAATTAGAAGGGAAATTTAATATTTATATGATACACAGGGGAGATGACAAAAACTTGATAGGAGAAAGATTTCATTCACCCTTCAAACTACACGACAGCTACTTTAAACAAATATACTCATTTATGTGTTGATTTTATTCAGGTTTGATGAACGAACATTACATATAACTGGAATTGGCGAAGTACAAACATATGTATTAAATAGAAGTACTACAAGGCATATGGTACTTATTAAACTGAATGACGTTTACATTAAATTAATACAAGAAACGACAATTCTGAATAAACGTTACTGGGAGATAAAACGAATAATAAACGGAACAAAAAACACTAAATTAAAATAGGGTCTTGTGTTTCCATCCCGTCCTAACATCTCTCACTTTTTAGCTGGATAAATATCAGTAGGTTTTCTGCAAGAGTTTTAACTTCCTGTGTCATTTGTAAGATATTGCCGCAAAATGTCTGCCGTAAAAAGAAGTGATAACATTTTACTTGAAAAATTGTATTTCATTAAATCATCTCTCCTCACCGAATGCTGTGGGATACTTGTCAAACAAAATCAACAATGTTTCGGCAATTTTGATGTTTTCAATACAATTCTTACTGGTCTAATATAATAAGCTTCTCGATATGAAGGCAATAGATATCGTAATATTGTAAGATTCTAATTCTTTCCCATGTATTGTATATGTTCCTTGTAACTACATAGTCTTCTTTATACCTTTAGTGGCCCTTTTGATCTGACTCCATTTAGAGCGTACGAATGTTTGCTATCACCTATTCTCGTATATAATCGTCGACTTAATCGCGTTAGCCAATAACGGAATTAAATAAGTCGAATAACGAGAATTGATTTGTGATTTGTGGTCTAATGGTTAAGTGCTCGCGCGCGAAGCCAGTAGGTCCTGGGTTCGAGCCCCGGGTGGTGCGGGTTCGTTGATGCGCACTGCTGAGGAGTCCCATACCAGGACGAAACGCCCGTCCAGTGCTTCCAGGTTTTCAATGGTGGTCTAGCTTCAACTGACTCATGATTTCAATCTGTGAAAATTTCTAAAAATCTCCACAAAACACATTCTGATAATATATTTTGTATCTGAAGTGAATGAAACAGAGCCAAGCAAAATGACGCACGGGGAGGATGGCTGGGAAGCCAACTCCCTTTTAATTAAGCGTTACTCAATATTTATAGGCAGACAAAATAAACTACAGACATGTGATGAGTCATGGGACATGAAGTGTACACACATATTCGCTCATATGAAAACAGTCAAGGCTAATAAGCGAATAATTAACAAGGTCAAAGTATGGCTCGAGTAGAATGAATAGAATGGGATGTCCGAAAGCTAGAATAAGGTATATGGGCTTAACATAGTAACTGACACTACATACCTTCCCTTCATCCTGACTTTTAATGTCGATAGTAATTTTCGAGTATAAACAATTGTCGTGTGTTTACTGAAATTCTGTTGGCGTTTTGTCTTGGTTCAATAGGTCACTACTTTATCGTGAACTTATGAACTCGTTACTTAAATTTTCTGTCTCTTTTTACTCTGTAGCTGTAATGTTATTATTGTGAATTGAATCCCAGATTGTTTTTAAAACAATAAGTAGCAATTACTGATCAATAAATTAATTTAAATTGTATAGATATTACAAATGCATCTTCAGATTCTTAATATAATAAATGGATAATAATCACAGTCTAATTGGTGATTATTAGTATTCTCAACACGAAGCAATCTATTCTCCATGTATAGTTATTTTGATCTACGTATCCATGATACTCGGTCACATATTTAATAATCCACTATTTAATTTTTTAAATGAAGATTTAAAATAGATAGTTATAATGGAAGTTGAACATTCATTGTTCAAATGACGTGTTAGTCGCATATTCAATGAAGTTATTAGTGGCACGTTTTAAAATGATACACTGACATTTGAGATAAGATTCCAAGTAATCTATTGAATTATTTAATAGAATGATATATGTATCCAAGCAAGCTAATTCTGTAAAGATTTCCGTGTAATTAACAAGTGACAATCGGTGAGAAATATACAGCATTGGTCAACTGTTTTGTTCTATATTTTAACCTTTCAACTGTGTTCAATCCCAATCCTCTATTAGATTCAATCTAAGATATTTGAATCTTTTTGAAAAGGATCACGATGCATCTGAGTTGCTTAATTGGTATCCGTTGGTGATCCATTTCTTTCAGTCTCAGTTCTTCTGTCATCTATTGTGTTTATCATAATTTTAAGCCTTCTGTACTAATGATCAGATTTATTTTAAATGAGGATAAGATTTCAACTGAATAACAGTAAAATTAGATCAGATGGGGCAATTTTCTTATTATTTTTTTGTAAGTACTTAGATTTTGTTCTATTATTGATACCGTAAAGGAAAAACAACTCCCTAATGACTGTCATTTAGTTCTTGTTTTATGGCTCCTGGGCTATGCATCTGAAGTTATTTAGTATTCTTAAAAAGTGTAACCTAAGAAGTATCACCTTTTTGGTAGAAGAATTTATCTTACATTTTTCATATCATGTTATATGTTGTTGCATAAGCCATAGAAAATAATTATTGATGTCACGAGGAATAAAATAAATTTGCATAGTATGGATACAATTAACTTCACTGGCGAATTTCATAGACTATTGAACATTACGAAGTTAAATGAAAAATCACTAATTTGGTATTAAAATAGTTTTTCATCAATAACTTCGTGATATCATATAGAAAATTACAGAAAACTTAAATTTTCCAGTTACTTGATACGTCTTACTATGTTTAACTTCACTAATGTGAATCTTCTACTAAGGCAAGTCACTAGCTAAGGAATGGTTGCCTACTAACTCTGAAGTCTCAGAATTCGATCTAGTATGTATAAATAGTTTTTGATGAAGTTTTGTTCTGTGAGCTGGATGGTTTACTCATGGAGCTTTCATCGTTATTCTGAACAACATCATCAGCACAAACTTCATGTAGAAGTGAAATGTTCAAATTTCTCCATATATGGCTCACAGTTTGTCCTATAGACCTCGATGTTCATTGGTTATTGTTGACCTTTAACCTGTCATTGTTTACTTTTTTATTTTGGTTGTATCTCCCATTGATTTGGTTTTTGGTCCTATATTTGCCCATAATTTTTTTGATTGGTTGAGAAATTGGATCGATTTCAATGTGTTTGTTGATAGCTGATTGACCTGAGTGCTAAGCTTCTAAAAATCCACTAGTGTTTTTAGAATTGCATCTATTCAAGATCTCAACATTTTTCCGATCGAATGTGTGTCTACAGTTGTCCACATGTATTGATATAAGTGAGGATATATCATGGGGTTTGACCGCCAATTGATGTTCATGCAGGCGAAGATAAAGAGGGCGTCCGCTTTGTCCACTGTAGTGTTTTTCGCAGTTGGGACAATTTATTTTGTGTATGATGTTCGATTGTTCTTCTTTGGTCATTTCGTCCTTTGGTTTGCACAGGATTGATTGAAGTGATTTTGTTGATTTGTGTGCTACACCTATTCCAAAAGGCTTCAACAATCTCATTGTAGTTCCTGATATGCTTTTTATATATAGTAGGATAATCCATTTGTTGGTTTAAGTATTTCATTTCATTTCTGCTGATGCGTTTGGTTGGTATTTTTTGATGAAGTTGATTAGATAGCCGTTCTTTTGAAAGATAGTCTTCAGGCCTTTTCATTTTTCCGCTCTACAAGTTTGTTGCAGTGTGTCCTCGCTCTCTTGAACATAGTTTGCTCGCAGTTGATTTTGTGAGCTCTTGGGTTGTTGTTACCGTAATTGGGGATTTGTTCTGTGTGGGTCAGCTTCCGATATGCTTGATTCTCCAGTTTTTCTGTGTCGTCTTTGATGATTAATACATCCAAGAATGGTAGTTACTTGCTTGATTACTATCCAATTGTGAACTTCACGTTATCAAAGAAGTTGTTCATCAGATTGTAGGTGTTCTTAAGCTCGTCCTTTTTGACGATGACGAATTTGTCGTGCACATAACAAATTCAAATTTTCGGCTTGATCTTTAATAAGACCGAAGTTACCAGTCTCTGCATCACTGCTTCTGCAATAAGTCCTGATAGTGATCCCATTGGTGTTCCTTTCGTTTGTTCATAGATGTGATACCAATTTTTGTAAGCAGAAAAGTTTTCCATTATGAAAAAACGCCAAATTATTTCCTAGACGTATGATTCAAAAGATCGGATGAAATTAGAATAACACTAAAAGTTTGTTTAATTATAGTTAAAAATGTACGTCGATTGAATCGATTCTGCAGCTTTTTCGATGGTGTCACGTTTTTTAAGTTGAATGATTGAAGTGTTAGTATTTTATTGTTGTCGTATCTTATTAGATTATGAACGTCACAACTTCAATAAAAAACTACAACCCTAAGGATACTTCCCTAACTATAAAATCAGTTCATTGTGGTAATCTTATGCGTTATAAGTTGTCCTCAAATACTTAAATATCTGATATCTAAACCGTTTTACTGATGATGTTGTCTAAACAATAATGAAAGCTTTCTAATTAGACTATTCAGAACTCAATCCCACTAAAGTAAATCTACAATAATTTCGTTCAACCTAGTTATGCTTCATTACACTTTTTTTATTATATTTTTTCCCTATTTCTATTTGAATTACTGTTTTATTTCTTATCAGTATGTGGATTTGTGGAGGTTGTCGTATTTTCACATTTGAAATCACGAGCTGATTTAAGCTAGACCGCAATTGGAAACCTGGAAAAATTAGGAGGCTGTTTCGTCCTAGTATAGGGCTCCTTAATAGTGTCCATCCACGATCCCGCATACGGGACTCAAACCCAGGACCTACAGTTTTGCGCGCTAATGCTTAACCACTAGACTACTCAGTCAACACCCAACGGTGTTAATGTTTTAACTTACTTCATTACGATGATTAAATTTTAACGATAGTTACACTATATTTTATTTAAGCATTAGTTATTCATCTACTAAGTTGGAAAATAATTTTTCAGAAAGTCATTATAAACGTATCATTCAATAGTATATCACGTGCAAAAAAAATTATTCTGAACTAATTGAGGTTATTAATGAGTAACTTAAATGTTGCTATTAGTAAGAGTTTGTAATTTGCCGTTGTTTTTTTTCCAGAACTGTAGGTGATCGTTCTCTGCTGGTATATGTACATCATGAGTGAATTGCCTCGATATTACCATTTAGGTGCAAGTTTTAGTGAAGTGGGATTGTATATATCAGTAGAATTTAGGAAACATGTTTTTTTTCTATTTAGAGCTCGTCAACTCGATTAACCTGCATCGGAACATTGATGTTTACACTGAAATCTGAACTTCATTAACACTTATGATCAAATGGGAATATTGAGACAATCCACTCAGGATGCAAATGTATCAACAGAGACTGATCATTTGCAATACTGAATAGTAAATATGGAAAACTCTTATCAATGCGTTCATACCCGTTGAACAAGTTAGTGCGTATCTGGAATTAGTAGCTTCATCAGTAATGTGTCGGTGTTTCAATTAAAGGGAACTTGATTTGATTCTCAGTTTAAACATCAACAGTGGAATGAAGATACGTCTAGCTGACGAGCTCCAAGCAAGGCAAAACATGTTTCCGTGGTTCCACTGCTAGTCAAGACCCAACTTAATTAAATATTGTTCGTTGGAAACAATTGCTAATATAAATAGCAATCACTATAGCAAAGGAGTAAATATCTTATTTACTTTGTTTACGAATTGCAAAAGAAAACGTTAATTATATATTTTATTTAGTTAGTAACTAAAAGTTATTATTGTTTGGTCTGAAAGCATTACCATTATCACTAAACCCTATGAGTTAAACAAGGTCTCTCCAATCAATATGCAAACTGATTCCCTAAAATTACCAGTTATGAAGATACGCATTAACAGAAACGCCCCAGGACAAGTAAATTAAATATTTTATTGAGTGTAACATGACCTTGTAATTGGTTGCTATATCGTCACAGAGTTATCCACCCTTCCTCTAAATGTTGATTTCGAGTATTATTTGGTACTTTTTATTCACCCCTTGCCCCATCTTATATGTTCTCTCCAAACTATATTCTCTATGCTTATCTTTTCACTATCACTTACATTTATATTATTTTATCTTTTTTACATTGTTGCTTCTTAATTTTCTCTCTAACACTAAAATGAAATGTGTCAACTTTGACCGGTTCATAACTGTGTCAGGTTATATGTTTTCTATGACTGAAGTTGATTGACTAGTGTACACAAAGCGAAAAAATAAAATGTCAAATAATCGAATATTGGACATCTAATTGATAAGACAAAGTGTTAACCGTTTTTCAATTTCAAATCATATTGATCTCTTTCTGACAATGCATATTATCAATAACTGGAAGATCTTAGATTTTATAATATGAGAGCAATAGATTCTCTTTGAAGTGAACAAGAACACCAGTGGGGGACAACCAAATGTATTTGAATATAAAATTACAGAATCTCGGTAAAATCTAAGAACCATACAGTAGATACTTTATTTGCAAAATATCCATCAATGGTTTCAGACTTTGTTGTTCCTTCTTTTCTATACAATCATTCTGTGCTCTCGTTCTGTTCTCTTAGATTTTAATCGCTAAAAAATTCCCATTATATTAAAACACAATTGTATGAACGAAGAGTATTCTTTTCAATAATTTCTCATCAGGTTCTACAATTATAAATCCAAATTAATAATCAATAAAATTGGCCAGATTTAAGGCAGAGTACATCATCATTTGGAAATTGTAATATATGAATTGAGAAGTTTTGTTTGTTATATAAAATCAATTCAGATCGTTAATGTTGGGGTTGTTTAATATAAAGTGTTAACTTGAATCAGTTTTATAAGCGAAATGAAATTGTGCGATAAATGATCAGAATAAATATGGTCAACATGGGGTGAGAGAGAAAATGATGGAATAAAAATCGGAAATTACGTAATATCTAGAATAATATGAATTAAGTCAGATATAGTAGATTTGGAGGTGGATATTGAATAAATTCCTCAAAAAGGGGTTATCAAGTGTAAAGATAATGATAATAATTGATAGTAGCAATAATAATAATAATAATAATAATAATAATAATAATAATAACAATAGCAATAATAATGATAAGTTCGGAGCATAAAACGGACAATAATCAGATTACGTCACCATATTATAAAATTAATTATTAACTAGTTGACCCCAAAGTTGGCCAGGGTAAAAAGAGTGGCTGAATGTTGTGGATGCGCAGGAATAGACCAATAATTATCATGTTAAGTCCAATGGTGTCCTTGGACTTTAAATGGACATTTCCTATTGGTCGATGTCTGTTCACTTGTACAAAATGTTGTTTTCTATTTTTATGGTACGCTGTGGTATGCTTGACTGGTATATAAACAAAGTATGTTTGAAATATAGTGATTCATATCCCCGAGGCTGTGGCTTGTGTTCTAGACTCAACTGACTGGGCTAGACAGGGAAGTGGGACCAATCGAGACTCTAGGCCGTTCGTACGTGTTTACGTGTCATTGTAATCGATCGATAACACAGGGTAGAAATCGACCACAACCTAAAGTCATAACACTGAACATACTTCTTTTGGATGCAAAGATCTGGCTTTTTGATCCGAATAGCAATTGCTTCAGCCGTCTGTAGGATTCGCAGTCTGACGGAATTAGGTAGACTGCTGTTAATACGATAGATTATTGCAAAAGATTGCTCCATGTTGGCTGTATGTCCTGTTTGAACTAGGTGGTCTAGGATGGAGCTGTTAACAGTTTTGACTACACCTTTGTTTAACCACACGGAGAAGTGCTCACGAGCCCGAATGTACAAGATCCTAGAACATCTACCAATATAACTTGCTCCATAGGAGCAGTTGAATTGTTAGATACAGAAGGAGGTGGCTAGTCTAGGTAATTTATCTTTCAACCTTGAAGTGATTATTGGTCGTGTGGAGAATAGTAGTTGTAGTTTACCCGCATTAAAGGTCCTTTGAATTGATCTACTTAACTTAAGTCTTAGCGTTTCACTCGGTGTATCGCCTCTGAATTGTAAGCGTATATACAGAGGCTTTTTATTTACAGTTGAACATTCTCTATGCTGTCTTTTATTGTCTATGTTTTTATTTATAAATTTCTCGGGATATCCATTTTTCTTCAGGGTTATGTATAATGACTTTGTTTCATCTTCAATCGTATCCACAAAGCATATAGTCTTGATTCTATGATGCAGTTTCTTAATAAGGTTCATTTTGTGTTGTAGAGGGACAAAACTAAGAAAGTTTATATACTGACCCGTCCAGCAACAATATATATATATATATATATATATATATATATATATATATGACTTTTTTTCTTTGGAATATCCTTTATTTATTTACCCTTCTGTCATAGAGGTTTTTATTCTTAATTTATAAATATTATGATCAGCTGAATTGATGACCCGCCATCTTCTTCAAATTCAATCCCAAGTTTGTTTTTATTAACTAATCAATCAGTCAAACAAAACATTTTATAAATAATTCAGTTCTATTATTATGATGAATGTTTTGAAAATACAATTTATGCATTCAATTTACACTTTTAATAATAAAAGTAATAATGATGTATATTTAAAAAAAAAGAAGATAATTCTGTAACAACACTAATGATTGACTGTCATAAATGATTGAATGATAATTCTTTTACTAATTGATGAGATGATTTAAAATGTAATTTAATTTGTATCTTTATTGTTGGTTGTTTTAATTCATTCATTTGAAAATTGTGTTCATTATTTGATTAGGAAAAAAAACTTTTTTTTCTCGTTTTAGGTTCGAGAAGAACGTATTAAACTGTTGATTAGTCGATGTCAAGAACTTTTGATTCAATCAGATGAGAAATATTTCGCTGAATGTTTACTTGTATCATATTCTGAGTAGGTTTACTGTTGTATACTTTACTACTATATGTTGAGAATTTTTTTCGCTGATTATTTTGTTTGATGAGAATTCCCCATTAGAAACATGTTTAAAGCTTCTCTAGATGGAGTAGGACAGGTATCTACTAGGTAATATTTAAAACTTAAATATTTAAATCAGTGGGCATTATTTAAGCAATAATGCGATTATGTTATCTGTTAATAAGCCTAGAAGAACTGCTTAACTTTTCACTGATATTGTTACCTGATAACAACTGATTCGATTGCACTAAGCATAAAACGCAACCCTTTTGCTACATGAAATCACTCAAAAAGTATGATCTTTGTGTGTTTGTCTAAGGATATTGTGGAATCATTTGATTTCTATTGTATTGGTGCTGCACTTAACACTAGACTTAAACCAGCACTAATCAAGTAAGATCTCAACGACAACTGTTATTATTCTGTTAGACCAAAAGATTCAAACATATTAATAAGTAACTCTCGAAGAAAACAAAGTATTTTCATTAACTTTGCTTATGCTTTAAACATTTCAACCCAATACTAAAACAAAGAAGAATTCTACCACCCAATAAATAACTTTCTTCTCTTAACTCTTAATGACTATCGTATTTTCGACTGAAGGTACCAATCCATTCATTAGATGCTTAGAACACTTATTTCAAGTCAATGAACTTGATATTTTACCAAATCAACATGTTTGATAAATAGCTATGTTTAATTGTATCGATCATATAACCTATTTCAAGTATATATTATGCAAATAGTTCAGCTCATCGAATCATCTATATTGATAATGACATGTACACAATTATCTATAAAATTCATTGTACACTTTTTATATATTTACTTACTGCAATTTCTTCATGATCAACCCTACTGTTAATTGACTTAAATCTAAACGACTGGTGTTCTAACTTGTATTGACTCGTGGCTTCAACTGAGAAAATCCTACAATCTCCACAAATCCCTATACTAATAATCTCTATTGTTTAATTAATAAATAATTCCGATTATAAGTTGACTTATAATAAGGATTCTACTAGATTTAATTAATAGATTAGTTCCCTACACGTAAATATTCAATATCAATTATGTCAAACTTTATACATTTTGAATATTGAAATTAAATTATTTTAAAATAATTTCGATATAATAAGAAGACGAAGATTATCAGAATTATGTGATGTATTAGCTCAATTAAGAGCATTTATATATAAAAATAAAAGGTCAACTAGACTGGAAACGGGGTAAGAGGAGATAAGGATAATGATAAGAGGAATAATAATAAGGTGAACACAATTCGAAACCTAATCACTCTGGATAGTAAGTCAATATCACCAGGGTAAGTTTTTAAGGTAAGAACAAACTGTTTTTGAACATACAAAGTGGGTTTGAATTTTCGTATGGCTAAGGCTTCAATAAACCTTAGTATACTCCCTTTTGCACTTTTATACAAAACCACAAAAGCCGAGTTAAGATCAATCTTATAGCCTGTTTCAATTATATGTTTAGCAATAGAGGATGATGGATGTTTATCCTCTGCTCTTATTGGGTCACTTGATTGTATTTGTTTCCGCAACCATTTTGGTACATGTTCACACACCCTAATTTGGAGATCACGATTGCTCCTCCCTATGTATGTAAACACAGTGGGATGTGACACAATCATTTTCATGTCTTTTAGGTTTTGAATGAAATATTTTATACTAAAATGAATCAACCAATCAAAATTCTGTGAATGCTTTTTTCTTAAACTAAATAGTGAATACCAGTGTTATTTCTCTTACTAGTAAAAATAAATAAAATGATTATCTAGGAAATGTGATTTTTATCCTTGCAAAAAAAAAACATGAAGAACATAAAACGCTAGGTTCATTTCCGATTTCATGTGTGAATATAATCTAATGACCATAATTATTAAATTCACGTAATATATTATTGGTACCAACCGATTAAATTCATAGTGAAATTCAAGGTGTAAACATTTCAATTTCCTGGTGTTTTATTCAAAGACTACATGGTTCTTTACAAAGACTGATATGTAAGAAGCCTACTCGAAATGAGTAATATACCAAATTCCAATGTCGGGTACCAATGAGCATAAAGAGGAAATTAGTTCATTCTCTGTTTTTGAGAGCTAGACATATACTCATGGAGGACACTGTCAATGAAAAATTTGAGGTGGTTTCTTCTCAGGGACATTGATAGTTATTTGAAACCAAAACGTACGCCTGAAAGTACGTTCCGACAACATTATCCATGAACATTGAGTTGAAAAGAAATACGGCTGGATCTTCGAAGAAGACCTATTCAACGGAGTCCTGAATTATTTTCTTCGTTAGGCACTTCATTTTGTGAGGTATCAAGGATAAACTGTCTCTTTAGGTCACTTCGATGTGCAATAGTTCGCTTACTCGCTATTGTGGAGTAGGCTATATTGGCTGTACATACTGTGCACTTCCTAAAACCATATCTGAGCACAAGCCCACACGAGAATACAAGTCATTCAGCAACTCAATCCTTAGACATATAGTCATCTATTATCTTTTACTACCACTGAAATCGTTGTTCATGATTATCTAAAAAGTCAAAAGAAATGATTTAAGATGGCTTGGATCGGAATTTTTAACATGGTTAAAACTATGCCAACTCACCGATCCAAATCTGATCTCATTATATAAGTCATCAATGCTAGTTATTCTTTTGTTCTTCATCTTCTTTATATTTGTCAAGTGGGTAATTGTCTAATACATCTATTCTATAAACTAAAACTTCTTATTACCTTCTAGGCTATTACGTAACTCCCTCAATACTGTAGAAATAACCCAATATCTCTCTTATTATAAACCGCTGTATGCATAGGTTTAATAAATTTTCCTTTAATCCATTGTGATTATTTAATCAAAATATTGTCCTTATAATCAATGAATATACTGAAAATTATTTATTCTGAATAATTATAAACAAGTTCTTAAATGGAATAGGTAGAAGAAGACAAACCTATTAATGAAAAATGCATAAATATCTATCACTAAACGCATTTAACTCATTTATCCATTGATTCTTAAATGTAAAAGTGTATATTCATGTTTATGACAGAACTCTATACCGAAAAATACAAGTGTTTTTTTTTCAACCATCTTATAAAAGAGTGGTTGATAAACAAATGATGATGAGTATATGTTTATCTTTTCTAATGTTAGATAGTTCAAATCATTTGCTCCCATACTATAATTGTATTATATTTTAGTGTATTTTATGAAACATAAAAATCTCAATCTTCTTTTGTGCGTGCTTCTTTCTTTATCAACTGGCAATGAGAACATTTTCCCCTCTGACTTTTTCCCTATTGATAAGCGAACTAAACACATGATGAGCAGCAAACACGTATAAGTTTTCATTTTTCTTTCCCATTATGCCAATGAAGCTGATTATATGGTACTTATTATATTAAAAATAATACGATTTACATGCCAATAAAATTTCATTGAGTGGAGTAGATAATTTTACAGATCAACTCATAGACATACGTGATAATCCAAGGATAGTGTATCATTAAATAAAACGATCTTTTTTAATTTAAAATTTAAAAAAAATGAACAAAAAGATCACTTCAATTAAAGAGGACTAAGCTAACGCTTAAATTAATCGGTTTTTATCAATTAGAGTTTTCAGGTTTGTGCTATGCTCTGCCTACTTTGGTCCAGTCAGTTGGATAGGAATATACTTCCACATTTGACTGATATAAGTTTGTATTCATTAAGTAAATAAAAACTAGTTACATTCAAATTAAATGACTTAAACTTACGTCATTAACTGATAATATTACATTTTAAAAAACAACACCATTATTCATAGTCATGACAATATTCATTCGAATTTAAAGAAGTAAAAATAATTCATCAACAAAACCACTTTATTCTTTTCATTCACAAAGTTCTCTCGTTTTTCCGAGATTTGTTTTTTTTTATCCAGAAAAACTTAATTTATGTTTTTTTTAAAAATGGAAAAGAGATGTTATTCTATAGGTCTGTTCTCATAGTGAAGATTGCTCGCACATTACAGACCAACTGTACTTGAATAACCATTGAATAGCTGTTTCGTCTCAGTCTTATAACTCTTCAATAGTGTCCACTAATGACTTTTCTAATGTCCATTTGTTTTCGTAAGTTGTTTAACTGTAGGTAATCCATGAAGTAAACTATCTTCAAATCAAAACGTCTCCACAAATCTCCTTTCCTTATATTCTCGTTTTATTTATTTATTCCCATTCATTTTTCTAATGAAATGATGGATTATGATTCATCTGATTTGTAAAGAGGATTATTTATCCGGAAAATCTCTGTTGTAACTGAAGTGAAAAACACTTTGATTACGGATACGAGATTGAGATTATTTATTCATTTTATTGCATACATCATTTATTAGTGAATGCATTATATTATATCATTTTTTAAAAATTTCTCTTTGAGTATATACAAAGGAAAGACTGAGTTCATAATATGAACACACTGCTTGTAAATTTTTAATTTACGATAGATGTTGCGGGTGAAATACCAAAAATCGTCGAAAGAAGTCACTTTAAAAGCTTTTTTTAGTGTTGTAACTTTCACAAGACCTACTATTACCATTCTTTTAGGTGCCTCCAGAACTGACCAACCCAATACGTATATACCAGTTCACTTGATCCTGTAGGACTTGGTGGATAGGTTACTTACCGAGACCACTGCTACCTTCTGTTCCGCAACATGTGATTGATTCAGGACATAAAACTTCAAATTCATCCTTTGACTTGAGTTACAAAATCCGATGGACTCGGCATATGCTTAAGCGTATTTTAAATTACTGAAGCTTTAACAATCCACAATGTTAAGCCTAAGTTTTAACAGATCCCTCTTATTATTATGATCATAGTTTTGCTAGTTGTTTTTTCCATACCATCTCTTACTGCTGACTACTAATGTTTCTACTTGACACTTATCATTATTATCATT